TGGGGCCCACATTTTGCGTCTCCAGCTACTGAGTCCTTTCTTTCCAGTTGTGGCTCTTTAGTCACTGGCGTTTGCAGACAAGCCTGGGCCAGAGAAGGCTGGAGTCAGCTAAGCTTTGTGTTGGTTGGGTCAGCAGAATGTTTGAGTAGGTAAAAAATAGTGACCATTGGCTCAGGAAGAGGCGAGGGGATGGGGGTCAGCTCAGTCCGGACTGCTCCGGGCCTTTGTCTGGCACTCAGGCCACAAAGCTGCCCCACCTGGATCAGCCTGGGGACAGGAGATGGGGCTGGAAGAAGGCAGGGAGCTGGCCAGGGCCACAGGCGTCCACAGCAGTCTCTGCTGTGCCCCCAACAGGACCCAGCTTTCCAGGACCCCTTCTCAGGGTCTCTGCAGGAGTCTTGAGCAGCTACAGAAGAGGAGTCTCCACCACCCCACCCAGCCCCACTTTTCTTTCTGCAGCACCCCTCTTCTTGGAACTGGGGATTGAACTCAGGCCCTTGCACTTGCCAGGCAAGCGCTTATTCTACAGAGCTATCTCCCCGGCCACCCTCTTCATAACTTCTGGACCCAGGGCTTCATCCTAACCAGCCAAAGAAAAGGAGAGGGTCTGGGGAGCACTGCCCAGACAAGAACTTCCTGGGACTGAAGGGACAGGTGGGGGAGGAGGGTCAAAGGTCACCCCAGCCTCTACCTGACCGGCCAGGATTTGAGGGGTATTGATGATTCACAGCTCGGGGTGATGCTTGACTCTTACGGATGGGCCCAGGATGTTGAAGGTCAGGGGTCCTCTGCCTGCAGGAGAACAAGAGGTCTTGAGCTAGGCCTTGGGGTGGAGGCTAAGACAGCATGAGGGCCAGAAATTGGCTTGGTTCCCGGGGTCCTGGACGGAAGAGCGGTCGCTGCACTCGTTCGGGGGATGTGCAGCGCGTGAAGCAGGGGTCTCCCTTGCCACAGGGTCTCGCGAAGGCCCTGCTCCCGGTGCTGCCGGCCCAGGACGACTCGCACAGTGTCCTCTGCCGGGAGCAGGGTGCGGTCGCCAGGTCCGAGCGCGGCGCTCTGGCTCTCCCGAGGCCGCTAGGGGGCAGCGCAGCGTGCGGGGCAGGGCGCGGGCGCAGCTGAGCGTTGTCTTCACCTGTTTCGTAGCTCCGAGCCCGTGCGCTCCGCAGGGAGCCGCCACGGCTTCCCGAGCCCGGGCTCCAGCCTGCCCCGGGCCGGCCCCGCAGGATCCAGTCCAGGTGCACCGCGCCCGCGGACCCTCCCCGCGGGGCCGGGGCCAGCGCCCGGCGCGCAGCATCTTTGTCCTCGCCGCCTTCCCGCCGCACGCGCTCTCCGGCG